TCGTTATGCACCCTGTCAGTCTGGTATTATTGGCCAACTTCTCTTGTTGCAAAACATACCAAGATCGTTCGTTTTTTACCCCAAATTTCACAGGAAAGCTAAGTAAATCATCCTGTATCTAACTATTATTAATATTAGAACGTAACTTTAATTTTGTCTTTAAAAATGGAAGTTTTCTTGGCCGGGTCTGTGAAATCGATATTAACTTCTCAACCATGACAAGACAGACATCAGGCCGGGAAACCATTAGACTTGTACAGTTTCACTATTACTGCGAAAGCTTCTGTTAAACTCAATAACCACTGCTCAAAATTCCTTTTCTTAAACTGGGAAAAACTGAAAATTTCTAGCTAATAAACCTCTTGAAGTAAATTCGAAGTTTTCCCGAATGATCAGTAGTCCTTATTTTGAGCAAGCAATTTCTGACTAGCTCAAGTGTCGAACCAGAATATTCACTAGATTCAACACCCACGTTTAAGGCAAAATTTTACCAATTTGGTCAAGCATTTACAATTTTCTCTTCCTTTTCTAAGATTCTTTTAAAACAAATACAATCTACAATAAAACTTTGAATCGAATTCTATAAATTGTTTGAAATAAATGCCATTGCCGTGACAATATTCACTAAGGTATAAATTTTAGCAAGGAGTTGTATTACTTCACTCGCTTGAAGCAGCTACTGGAACTTAACGATCATGGATCCTTCGAGGTTTGATACAAGTAAAAATAAAGTCTTGTATTACCAAAATCAAATAAAGAACGGTATTTTGAAGAGGAATGAACCAGTTAACAAGTCGATGAAAAAATCCGGGGTAAAAAGGAGCAAATTTTCGCTAAAGAAAGGATTAAAAACAAAGATATGTGAAAAATTATTGGAACCGACTGTCTCGGATAATCATCATTTTTATCGAAATAAGTCTGATTTAAAAGAATATAAGCAATTTTTCAAATGAGTATTTTCTTTAGTCCTACGACTAAGTACTCAGCTTCATAATTCGCCGTAATTATCCTACACAAGAACGTTCTATATTTTATAAAAAAAGAGCCAATAATCATATTATTCTGTCATTATTATGACTAATGCCTATGCTGTTTTAGCTTGTATTTTTTCCATTTTACAGGATATCTCGAGTTACGATGCTTCGCTCGATGAAGTTAAAGTCTCTGAACCCTCACATCACTTGTGTACTGTGTGGAGGATATCTCGTGGATGCTACTACCATCATTGAGTGTTTACACTCCTGTAAGTCTTCTCTGGCTAACGTCGTTCCTGAAAAACTTCTAAATAGCAATAATATGTGACGATGTAGTAAACTTTTGGGAGAAGGAGGATTGATTTTAAGCTACAGTTCCTTGCGATATATTTTGATGTATAAATTCAATGAGATCTAACCATGCACGGCACTGTAAACAACCTTATTAGCTATTCTTGCAGCAGTTTTAAATCGTAAATCGTCTTCGTTATCATATAAACATTCAAATATTTTTTCTATTTCTTAAACCAAACTAGAGAAAGAACTTCGTACGTGCAGAACTTCGTTAAAAAATACATCTAGTTCGTGAGCCGGATTTTTCCTTTCAACATAAGTGTTCTGAAACTACGGCCCTGTGCTCGAGATGTACTTAGTGCTAAATGATCACTATATGAGAGCACAAAAACGTTTTAACATCTACCTAGCTGAGTGCTCAACAATAATACAGAATACGTCTTTCATAAGAAATACAGCCAAAAAGAAACCAAGTTCTTTTAGCATTCTGAAGTCTTTGATGATTGCAGTCGTAGTCAAATAAACGATACGGATATATGTCAAGATTTCATTTTTTGTTTCGACGACCCAAAACCTTTATACAGTCAAATATATATTAGCTTAGAAAAACAGGTCTTAACCTGATAAATCTCTCTTTGATTCCGTACAAATAAAATCTCGTCTTCTTCTTTGTCATCGTCGTATTGTTCGAGTTAAACTTTACGTAATATTGAAGTTTCTAGTTTCTATAGTTCAACTTTTTGTCGGTGCAAAAGTACTTCTGTATATCTAGCGATAAAATATATATAATCCTGGTTCGCGTTTATATAAATCGGATTCTGACAAATATGTATATCGCTGTTTACACAAAACTATACAAATCGAGTATTTTCTGGCGTATTTTTATTTGTGTACAGCTTCAAGAATAAGTCAAGTAGATGGAAATATACGGTTTTTTTTATTTTTTTCAAAATTTGGCGAGAAAAATTAAGTGTTGAACAAAATCATAGTAACTTCAGCTCTCAAAGGTTTAGGTCAAGCGTTTACCAAATTGAAATCTTTGGCTTAAGAGAGCGACAACGATTTTTTTCCTTACTGATTGACTTAATCAGATGAATGTAATCTATGGCATGGCTGATCAAAAGTCATGCAATCGAAAATCGATTCTTAGTTGATCGTGAATGTTAGTTGTGAAAAATACGGCATATAAAGAATAAACGAAAACAAATAAAATATATGTAAAAGTGGCATTTCCCGACACAGCGGCTCTTGATTTCATATACTGATCATAAATTCCAGTTGGAATTTAGAAGTTTATTTTTGAGGGAGAAAAACCGGAGAACCTGGAGAAAAACCCTCGAAGCACAGGAGAGAATTAACAAGCAACTCTATACTCACAGACGACACCGAGCCCGGGAATCGAAATCCGGATCGCCACTTCGCCGAAAAGAAAAGAATGTCGAGCAAAGTTTCATAAGAAAATTCAACGCCAGAAGGCGCTCGAGAAAATCAAAATAAATAGGAGAAAATGGTTTTCTAAAGGCCGGTTTATACGGTACGATTTTCGCCTACAACTATCGTATATATACAACACGCTTGCGTCTGTCGTAGGCGAGTTGTAGGCGTGATTTACACGCTACGACTCGAGTTGTAGGATGTCGCGAGCGTGTTGTATATGTACAATAGTTGCCGTCTAAACCGGCCTTAAGATGTAAATGTTTCTATAAGAAAATCTCTATGTAAGTGTCTAGCCATCCATCGAGGATCGAAAGTTTAACTCTTTCATGCTCTACTTTATTGATAGTCTGCAGAAGTTGTATTATCTGTTGGCTCGAGAGAAGAAGCTTTCATTGTCCTGTGTGTGAAACAGAAATCCATAAAACAAGACCGTTTCTTAACATCAGGTACGTGTTACAACCATCACTCCGCGTAAGGGGCTTGTTGTCAGTTCAAGTTCGCTCAACACCTTCACACTACATTCACTATATATCTATAACACACAACACTCAAATATGCCATTCATGTATGTTGATTTTTACGAACGGAGGAATATCGGGAAACCCAGAGAAAACCCTTCGCGGCACAGGAGAGAACAACACATCAAACAGACTCAACTCACATACTGAGGGGGTCATTCGAGAATCGATCCCGCAGCACCCAAAATGCGTTGTTTTTTTTTGTTTTTTTTTTTTTTTAAAGAAAAAATATTTGTGTCGAAAAACCTTTATGATTGCCTCTTTTAGACTTCGGATGAAGAATGCGGTCAAGATATATAAGTTAAACAATACCCGACCGCCGTATGTTCTAGTAGTTGATGATTAATGTATTCTTTCTACAGACCTGATCGCGTTCTTCAAGATGTTGTCTACAAACTTGTGCCAGGCTTGTATCATGGTAAGAGGAAATGAACGTTACTAATTTTAAACTCCATACTCATTTTTATCCTCTCCATATTTTCGGTCATTTCGGATTCATGGTTTCGTTAGTTTTGCTTTCCAATTCTTCTTTTCTTTATTTTTGTTTTATTTTC